GGACCAGGTAAGGCCCGGTTTAAACGTCGCATTTTACATGCACCGAATCTGATTGCCGAATTAAGTGCATGTAAAATGCGAAGTTTAAATCAAATGCCGAACTTTAATTTGAGTCGACTCAAATATTGTAAATTGCGACGTTTAAACCGGACCTTAGTGCAGTGACATAAGAAAAAAAAGATTGACTGTCAGCTGCCTGGCTTACCGTGTTATGTCCAGATCAGATTGCAACGAACATGAGCTTATTTATAGAATGTGATTGTTTCAGTGTCACAAAGAAATTTGAGAACCCGAGCTGAGCAAACAAAGAGATCAATGATACTGCCAATCCACGTGAATATCAGACCACCATTGCTATGGCTATTTGACATTTGGCTCGATCAAGGTGAGATGCATCCCTTTTTTTTTCAAAAACTTACATATGAAGGTGTATCCCTTGCAGTCCTTGCAGTCCTGGGTAAAGAGTTTTTTACAATAACTGCAAAAATTCTTGTGTGCTCGTTGCTAATTTTCATTGTCAATAAGTGGACAGACATGTGAATTTATAATCTATGCAATGTTGATGAGACGAGCGAGAGCGGACAAGTCGACAATTACCAGTAGTTAATGTTAAAAACAAATTGATGTCAGTTTTTCATGCATCTGCTCTGTTGTTGAGAAGACATTGAATTTCATCATAACATTGTGTAGTTCCAGAAAATATCCAGACCTCCCCCACGGAAGGGATTTTTTTCTAACACCTCCCCACTCCTCTGGAAATTCCAGTTGAGCTTCATACATTTCTTTAAATGTTTTGGTCTTCCAGAACCCCCCTCCCGCCAGGAAATTCCAATCCTTTCTGTGGGGGAAGTATGGATATTTTCTGGAACTGTGCATCGTCAAAGTAGTCTGCAGGTTTACTTGGTTGTCGCCTCGTGGATCCACAGCTAATTTGACAATGTTGCGATGAAATTTACGATCAATAATAGGACAGGCACATGAAAAGCAGACGTCAGTTTGTTAAATGAAGGTTAAATTTGTTGAATGACCTATACATGTAAGTGCCTGCCACCAGGGGGTGGAAGGGTACTCCCTCTATCTAAATGGGCTATA